GGCGTAGGTGGTGAACTGGGCGTTCGCATCCTTCTCAGCCAGGTAGACGAGGAAGGAGGCAAAGATGAGCACCAGGAAGCCGATGTACCAGGCGGTGATGAGCTCCTGCCAGGGCAGAGCGGGGTTCAAGGGGGCTCGGGGAGAGCGGTGGGGGGGGTGGCCGGGTGATGTCCCCCCATCCTCACCTTGCTGTGGGCGTAGACGACGGAGCCCAGCAGCTTCCAGGTGCCGCCGCGCCGGTCCATACGCACCATGCGCAGGATCTGCAGGAAGCGCATGCTGCGCAGCGCCGACGTGGCGAAGATGTTGCCTTGGGTGCCGGCGGCGATGACGGCCACCGAGGCGATGAAGACGATGAAATCTAAGGGATAGCGAGAGTCAGGGGAGCCTGCTCTTCTCAAAACACCCGTGGCGTGAGTCCCCAAATCCTTGCGCCCCCCCCTCCCAACAAGTACCTATAACGCAGAAGGGTTTCCTGGCAAAGCGGAACCTTCCCCTCCAGCCCCGGTAGCGGCAGCAACACCCGGCAGCCCAGACGCGGATGATGTACTCCATGCCGAACACCACGATCATGACGAACTCCTGCCGGGGATGGGGGGAAAATGTGGGGGCAGGAGGGTGAGGTGGGGAGGGCAGGGGCAGGATGGTGTGAAGGGGGCGGCCAAATGAAACGCTGGTGCTGAGGAGGGTGCAGCGGGGAGCGCGGTGTCCCCCCGGGGTCACAGCCCCGGCTGGAGCCATCCCGGGGGAATCAGGGCAGCGAGATGGGAGCCGTGGCCGTCGAGCCTGTCTGAGCAGCCCGGCTCTCCTACCTGTGCCAAGCTCACACCGAGCCGGGTCCTTTTCCTCCGCCGTCAGCATTGTCCTCCTACCTCTCGCACAAACAAGCCCCCGTTCTGCTTACTCGCGGGAAAGTCACAAGGACCTTCCCAATTTAGTCTCCATCACTCGGAAGAACTCCAGCGTCAGCCGTTTCTGACAGTTTGGGGGAAAGTTGCCTTTTTTAGCCCCTCCTGCCCTGCCTTTCCCAATGGTTTATGCCTCTCCTCACCGCAGAGGTCCAGCTGCAGCGACGGGCCACCCGGAGCCGTGGGGACACCCGCAGCAGTGAGGCCACCCTGCAGCTTCTCCCCAGCGTGCCGGAGAGGCCACCACCATTAACACCAACAACCAGCAGTGACATCTGAGCTGGGGAAGGGGTTGGAGGGGTTTTGTCTGAGTCTCTCAGGGTGTAATGTGGGGAGGGAGAGTAGGAGCAACAGCTCTGCTCCACACTCACCAGGATGAAGAGGCACTGGTTGGCCAATTTCTGGTGCTCCTGGATGGTGGAGAAGACCGACAGCACCAGGCAGCTGAAGACGAGGAGGAATCTGGAAGGAGAGGGTGTTGGTGAGGGTGTTGGGGCCGGTCGGGGAGAGCCCAGCTTGTGGTGCTGGCCCCTGCTCCCAGTCTGACCCCCCCAGCTGAGACCTCCACGGCCGTGGCTCAGCCACTGGGGACATGGTTTGTCCCTCGAAGGTGATACGGAGCGATTCAGGAGCCCAGAAGCAGCTGCCTGTGGGTGCGGCACAGGGCTGTGCCCAAAACCTGGCTGCCCAAGGCTGCCGGTGGCACTGGGATGCTCAGTGCAGGCAGCACCTCCCTGAGTGCACAGGACAGGACCCTTCCACTCCCTGCACATCCCTCCGGCACACCCGGGACAGGCTCTCTGATCACCCTCAGCCAGGGCCGGGGGTCCCGTGGTGCTCCCCAAGCCATGTGCCCAGAGGGAACATCGCTCCCACTGGTCCCCTCTGTGATGGGGACCAGTCCTGTGTGACACCCGTGTGTCAGCCCTGGCTGGTGGCACGGGACATCCCCAAGCTGTTCCACAGGCACCAAGGAGGAGGACCAGGCTCCAGTGGCCACGGGGCTCAGTAAAAGGCTCCTCTGTGGCCCTGTGGCCTCTGCTCGGGAAAAACCCCCACTAATTAAAGGCAGGGAGGGAGCTGGGGGGGTCCTGCCCCACGGCAGGGTGCTGCTGCTGCTGCAGAAAGGGGAGCAGAGCTTCTCCTGACTGTCCTCAACATCACTGCCACCGCGGGGACATGTCGGGGCCACGGGGGCCACCTGGGAACAGCCAACCCAGGGGAAGAGTTAGCAGGGAGCTGCTCCAGGGCTCTCTGTCCTCACGAGCTGGGTTGAGACACAAGGGGCTTTGGCCCATTTAAAATAAGGAGGGGAAAAAAAAAGTAGATTCCGAAGCAAATCAAACTCCCAAAATACATTTTTTCCCCTGATCCAGCAATTCTAAAAATGGAAAGCGGAGGGCTTGTGCCACCGGCCCACGTGACGGCGTGCAAAGGGCCACCGCTCCGCCAGAGCCGGCTCCGTAACGGCACCGGGGACTCCGGGGACCCGCGGGCCCATGGCACTGCGGGGAGGCCTCGCTGGCAGCACCAGGGCGCCCAGGCTGAGGCTGGCAGTGCAAGCGAGGTGGCCCTGGCACCCTGTCCCCGAACTGGTGGGCACCCATCTGGCCCCCCAGCACTGTCTCCCCATGGTGAGCAATGCCCGTGGGACCCATCCGTGGTGCTCCAGGGAGCACAGGGGGGCTCGGCCCGGGGAGATGCTGCCCGACACCCACTCAGGAGCACTTTCCCGTCTCTTCTCGTTGCTGATGTGGAGTTTTAGAGCTGAACCGGCTGCCTGGGGTGGGTGAGGGGTGAAACCAGACCCAACCCACACACCAGGCCCAGAGCTGGCGGGGAGGCACTGGGTGATGTGGGGGAGAGGGGACGATGCTCTGTGCCCTCCGCAGGACCAGGTGCAGACACTGAGCACTGGGGGTGGGGGGGATCCGAGGGCCCCCACAAGGCTGAGCATGGCCCAGGGACACACGCACCCACCCAGTGAACCCCCAGTTTGTGTCGGGCTGGGGGCTCTGCAAACCTGGGCATGGCATGAGGGGGCTGCCGAGTGCCCCAGGCCCACAGTGGGGGAGCACCCAGCTCAGAATCCAGCCTAAAGGGGACAGGCAGGTCCCATTCCCCAAAACCACCAGGAGGGGAAACTGGAGATGGGACTGATGGCAGAGAAACCCCAGGGAATGGGGGAAGTGCTGGAGCCAGAGTACGGAGAAGGGAGAGCTGGAGCCACACACCACGTGCCGGGGGTGTCGCAGCCTCCACACCTCCCTGCCCTCGCTGCGAGGACGATGCTCCTCTCCCAGACACTCCCCATCTGCATGGCAGAAGGCTGGAGCCAGATCCTTCTCCCTCTGAATTATCCATCGAGCCCCTTTCCCGCGGCCCAGCGGTTCTGCCGTTAATTCCTCCGGCAGGTGAAGGCAGAGCTGGACACAGCCGTACCCCCGTCCTGCCTGCACTGGCCCAGCAGGCAGCAGGGCCACGGGCAGGGAGCCCTGAGCAGGTCACCGGCCTCCTGAGCAGCCCAGGGCAGAGCCGTTCTGCTTTGTGCACCATCAGCGATGACGATTATACAATCAGGATTTAGCGGGCAATTACACGGGCAGCGAAGCACAAAGCAGAAGAAAAGGCAGAATTCTCCCAGCCCGCAAAGATTTGTGCCTCTCGCCCCAGCCGGGGAGCGGGGAGGCGGGGTGTCCCTGGGTGCCTGGGCACACGCTGTCCCCGTGGGGACGTGCTGTGGGTGGCCCAGCCTCGGGCAGTGGCGGGTCACGGTGCCTTTGCACCGAGCAGGATCCCCACTCGTCACCCGTCCCCACAGCAGCTCCGTGAGCAACCGGGCGGTAAAACTGTGCTGCAGGAGCGGTGATGGACACCCACATCCCCGGGGTGGGGACGCCTCCCGCCCCGGCATCCCACAGGATTCGGTGTAGGATACGGGCATGCGAGGCCCCACGGGGCTGGCTGGGAAAGAAACTTTCTGGGAACACATCACCTGGTAGGAATTAACTTGTAAAGCCTGGGCAAGCGCCCCAGCCCCGTGCTGGCAGCGCCTAAGCAGCTTAAGGAAAGGGTCAGGTGCCTGAAGGCAGCTCAGGAGCCAGGAACCAGCCAGGCCCCCCCCCGCCCAGCCCCGGTCCCCCCCTGGGGCAGAAGTGCTGCTCTCAGCAGCTCTGCCCCGAACCGAGGGCTCAGCCAACCTCTCCATCAAACCCCTGCGTGGTGCTGGCGGTGCCAGGCTCCCCACCAGCACGCTCCCCCTCCCGAATTCACTGCTCTTCCCACCCACCAAGTGAGACTAAAAAAAAAAAAAAAAAATAATGAGTGCTGCCAGGGAAAGCAGGGATGGGGCAGAGATGGTGGGGCAGGACCTGGCTGCCTCCCCACTCCCCTACGTCAGGGTCCTGGGGGATGGAGGCAGAAGATGCTGGTGCTGCTGAGCTGGTGCATCATCTCTCCCCCATAAACTTACCCTGGCCAGCCCCTCCCCAGCCAGCAGCCCCCTCCCCAAAGGGATCCTGTCGCTCCCCGTGCCGGAGGGGACACGTCACCGGCAGCCTGGGCACAGGGACAGGGCCCCTCCAGCTGCTCTCACCCCTGCAGGAGCAAAGTCTTTCCGCAGGAAAAGTCCTCCCCAAAATAATTAAAACCCGGTGGGGGGCCCGGCTTGGAGAAGGTGAATCTCCTCACATTAATCTTCATTAGAATGGGCTTTGCCATATGCTCCTGCCCGCGCCGGCAGAGGAACGGGTGAGCCGGGAAAGCTGCTGAGCTCAGGGGGAGCGGGGCCAGGTCAGCCCCGGCCAGCGAGGAGCAGCACCAGGCCAGGGGGCACCAGCCGGCACCCGGTGCCCACCCCTGGGTGAAGGAGCTTCACCCCACTCTAGTTTGGGCAATGCTGTGCCACCGCATCCCGGTGCAGCCGGTGTGATGGGAGAGGGATGCTCGGAGCCAGCGCAAGGAGAGCGCACAGCGCGGCCAGGCTGAGCCCCCTAGCCCTAGGTGGGTGCCAAGCTCAAAGTGGGGGTACACTGGGCACCCCCATGCCCCGGCGGGGCTGGCCTGCACCCCGCTTCACTCTCCCTGTGCAAGAAAGCCCCGAGCTGGCAGCAGCAGGGAGGCCCACGCTGACAGCCCGGCAATAACTCAGCGGAAGGAAAATACCACGCGCCGCAGGATAAACAGCTCAGCCGGGGGACGAGCGGGCAAAGAGCCTCCGCCCAACGCACAGCTCCCTTCCCCGGCCAGGCCTGGCCCCATCGTGGCACTGCCAGGTCCCCGCGGCGCTGGGCAGCGGTGCTGGGTGTCCAGCCGGGCTGAACCCCCCCAGCTGTTTGGCCCAAAACTGCCCGAGCCCCGCTGGGGTGGGCTGGGGACAGGGCTGGGGATGGTGCTTCGCCCTGCAGCCTCCCCAGCCCGCGTGGTCAGGCTCCCCGAGCAGCGCCTGCAGCTGTACAAACAGCCCGTCTTACAAATCCCCCGTCCCTCGCCCCACAGCCCTTCAGGAGAGGTGGAGCAGGCGGCCTGTCTGCTCCGGGGGATATAAATAACCGGGGTGTAGCGGGCCTGTTTGCGCCCGTAACCATGGCAGGGCCCGTCCCGCGCCGCGCTCCTGCCCGTGCCGCCGAGAAGCAGAAAAGCACCGAGTGTTTCCCCACGGCCAGAGAAACGGGAGCTCGACCAGGAGCCGGCCAGTCCCACCACGACACCGTCACCGCAAACCTCAGCCCATGCTCCCAGCCCGACCCAGACCTGGTTCTCAGCACCGGGAGAGGAAAGGTGCTGCCCTGAGAGCCCCCCTCGCCCCCCGAGCTGGGGGTGCTGGTGGGGGGGAGGCAGGATGGGGTGTTTCCAGCGGCCTGACACTGCCTGGAAGCAGAGGCTGGGATGAAGAGCCTGTCTGCGGGCTGCACACCTCCTCCTGCAGCCGGTGGCACCCATGGCAGGGACCCGGTGGCACCCACGGCAGGGATCTTGTGGCACCCACAGCAGGGGTCTGGCAGCACCCAGGGCAGGGACCTGGCAGCACCCACAGCAGCAGCTCCGGATGACGATGCACAGCGTGCAGGAGCCGATGGCCCCAAGACCTTTGTGCTTTGGCGAGTGGGAGCCGAAGCCTGCGGATGCATCCTCCATCACCCCCGCGGGGCACCCCCACACCACCCCCGGCCCCGCAGTCCCCACGGTCACACGGCTCCCGCGGACGGTGCCAAGATGCTCACACGGAGCAGCCGAGATAGTTTTGCTCTTGAATCATCTGGCAAGGAGCTGGCTGAAGCTGGGGAAAAGAAAACCGACGTGTTTTCAGATGCCTGATGGGCCTTGAACCCCAGGAAAGGGATCGGGGCTGTCCCCACCCTCCAGCACCTGGGGACTCCGCAGGGGACGGGGGATCTTTGGGGCACAGGGGGATGAGTGGCCCCAAGATGCTGAGGCAGGCTGAGCCCCCCAGTACATCGCAGGGAGGGCAGGAGCACCCACAGGCAGAGGGGGCAGGTCTGGGTGCTCGCTCAGCCCCACTCCAACCCCCACCCCTGGGGGGACAAAGCACCGAAGCCTCTCCAGGGGGACCGAGCATCCCCTCTGCACCCCCCCACAGCCGGGCTTCCCCCCTCCAGCCTCGCCATTGGGGCCAGACAGCCTTGGGCACCCAAACCAGCACCTCCTGCTCTGGGCTGGGTGGGGGGGGTCAGAAAGGAGCAGCAAGAGGGAAAAAGGGTGAAAAAAAAAAAAAAAAAAAA